AGCAAGAGAGAGAGAGAGAGAGAGAGGGAGAAAGATGGAGTAATGAGAGAAGGCGGTTTTAAAAAAGAGAGGAGGAATAGAGCGGGGGGTGAAGAGGGAACAAAGACATGTTAGTTCTGCAAATTGAGGTGTAGAATTACGAGATCATGAGGGCAAGTAGTGCCAAGTGTTGTGTTGCTTGGGGATAAGTAAGAGGGCGAGAGAAGTGGCACGAACCTGGCCAACTTCCCTTTTGGGCCTAGCTACAGCCAGGAAAGAACCTTTCGGGCGCACATACTAATCAAGTTTACCCTCAATGGTATATGCATTCTAATTGCGCCCCAGAATTGCATCACAGCTGGGGTCTGGCGTAGCAGAGCTGTTTGCTTGTCCACACGCCAATGTCACGATGGGGCTGGGCTATGTACACGTTTACTTGACCGGTTGCCCAACTCGGACTGGACCCACCCTTTTCGGCCCACCTCCGACGAAGCAGGTGGGGAGGCGTAAGAGCTAACAGGAGGCAGGAGAGAGTACGTAGATATAGGCTTGCAAATGGACAAATCTGACGTTCGGCCAGGCCTGATCTGTACGCAGTCAGGTCAGTAGGATTGAAGACTTTCGGAAAGTCTGGAGTAACGACTTAGTCGACCGAGGTCGCTTAATACAATTGAGGGACGGATACTGGCAGGCCTCTCATTCCGTTTGAGAAGACGGATGGAAGGGACTCGTAGCTTGGCCGCACCGGATACCGAAGGAGGGTTGTTGTCTTGGACTTTTGTCCGTTGAATTGTGCGAAGAAAACCTCGGCTCACCGTCCTACGACCCCGATGACTCCGTGGTCAGTTAACGTCAGTACACCTTTTTTGATTTTTTTGGCGAGTTTTTGTGAATAATAGTTTATGGCTCTGACGATGTCCGCCACATAACAAACGAAAGTCAGCACGGAGTAATCGAGGTCGTAGGATGGTGACCGGAGGTCTTCTTGGCACGCTTCAGTAGACAAAAGTCCAAGTATTTCGATGTCCGGTGAGGCCAAGTTACGAATCCCTTCCACCCGACTTCTTAAACCAAATAAAAGGTATGCCAATATCAATCTACTAAGTGATTCTCCTGAACCCAGCTTCACTTCGTATTTAAGGACTGATAGATGAGTTTTCCCACACAATCAGATGAGTAGGCATCGGGATGTCATTAAGATGGCCATCTCATCCAGGCAAGACCATCGTTTCCACCCTCAACGGGATTCGATGCTTGGTCGTGAGTATTGTGGTGAGGCGTGCCACACCCCTCCACTACATGGCTACCCACGAGTCACAGGGCAGACGCGACATTCAAGGCAAGCCAAGCATTTCCTAACACATTTTTTATTGTGTGATTGTCGATTATGCAAACATGTGTCTGCCATTACAGCCAACGACGTTACTTACTTTCAAGGTGAGTAGGCTTTGATTTATGCCTCTGCAAATTTACCGTCGTTCGATAACCTCGTCTCTCCATTAAGTATGTATTTTCAGTACTGATAGTAGATCATATATATGAGATGTGTTTACTCTCTTATGGTTCAAGTTCTGCTGCTGGTACTGATGAGACCAGTTCAAGCTGAGTCGAAACTGCAGTCCACTTTTGCCCAGTTGAGAACACCTTTTGGAAGAGCAAGGCCGTGAAACGGTAAATTGAAACATCAGGTCTACTCATTATCACCTTAAATGAAATAGGGTGAATCCAACCCATATAGATAGAATGTAGCCGCTCTGTCTTTCAATGAATACGAAACTGACGATACGTTGATAGGAAGGTGACTCGGGAACGATGGGATGGTGAGCTGGAGGCTAGTGACCCTGTGGCAGGCTCATTCTGGATAAAACTGTGTTTCAATAAAGCAATATCTGATTTTTTTAAATAGCGGATTTCAAAGCAACTCGGAGTGAAGAAATAAT